GGTGCGGGAGCAACACCGAGGGTTGTGATCCCATAGCCGGTCCCGGTCTGGTACGGGCGCGACACTGAGGGTTGCGATCCGTTGCCGGTCACGAAAAAAGACAAAAAGGAAAAAAAAAAAAAAAAACCAGATATGGGCCGGCACGGTGGCACACTGCTACAGTGTGCCGCTTGGGAAGCGCGGCGGCGCTCCCGCCGAGGGTTCAGATCCCACATACAGACCGGCCGCTCACTGGCTGAGCAAGGTGCGGGAGCAACACCGAGGGTTGTGATCCCATAGCCGGTCCCGGTCTGGTACGGGCGCGACACTGAGGGTTGCGATCCGTTGCCGGTCACGAAAAAAGACAAAAAGGAAAAAAAAAAAAAAAAACCAGATATGGGCCGGCACGGTGGCACACTGCTACAGTGTGCCGCTTGGGAAGCGCGGCGGCGCTCCCGCCGAGGGTTCGGATCCCACATACAGACCGGCCGCTCACTGGCTGAGCAAGGTGCGGGAGCAACACCGAGGGTTGTGATCCCATAGCCGGTCCCGGTCTGGTACGGGCGCGACACTGAGGGTTGCGATCCGTTGCCGGTCACGAAAAAAGACAAAAAGGAAAAAAAAAAAAAAACCCAGATAGGTATAGTACAATTATGTAGTATACATTATTACTGTGTGCACTATTATATGTATATCTACATCATACATACACACATATAGAGACAGACAGACAGAGAGAATATGATACATAGTAAACACATAAAAAATACGCCATAGGAGTTTAAAAGTAGAAAGAGTAATTTTCGACTGGCCAGTTAGCTCTATCAGTTAGCAACAAGGTCAAGGGTTCAGATCACCTTTCCAGCCAACCACCCAAACAGAAAAAAGAGAGAACTTTAGGCCGAATCCTTTGGAACAAAGTTGAAAAGGTATTATGCTATGGAAAAGACCACTAGATAAGAATAGTCTGGCCTTCAGGCCTGGTTTTGCCATTGATGTACAATGTGACCTTATGCATTTAAATAATATCTTCCAGAGAATGTGCTTTCCATATTCTGAGTTCCACAGGTTTTTAGGTTGGGATTACAAACAAAGACACAACAAGATGCAGAACAGTTTACACTATATGATCCCTTTAAAATGTGATAATTAAGCACAGAAAAAATCTGGAAGGATAAACATGTAACTATTAAACTATTATCTGGAAGGATAAGAACACTAAGCTATTATGAATATGGGGCTCTTAGGAAAACCAGTTTATTCCTCATTCTCATAGAAACAGGAAAAATCTCTCCCAGAAAATTACTAAGATTTTACCCTAAAGTTAGTACACAGCCTGGATAAGACTTCAGAGAATAAGGTCCCAGTGGTAAACTATGAGATAAAATAGCTGATCTAAATAAATTTGGTTAAGGGCCCCAATTTGAATATATTTAATTTTATTTATTTATTTTTTAAAGATGACCGGTAAGGGGATCTTAACCCTTGACTTGGTGTTGTCAGCACCACACTCTACCAAGTGAGCTAAATGGCCATCCCTGTATAGGGATTTGAATCCTTGGCCTTGGTATTATCAACACCATACTCTCCCAAGTGAGCCATGGGTCAGCCCCTGGACACATTTAATTTTGAGCTTTGTCTTGCTGGAAAATTTATTACTAAATCCCAATTCTAATTAGTCTTGGGCAAACCAAGACAGTATTTCTAAGAAAATTGAAGTTGTCCTCTAGAAATAAATCAGATAGAATAAAATACATGGGATAAAGTTCACCTCAGAGACTTAAAAACTTTAGCTGTGGTACAATCAGCTGGAATGTAGAGTACTTTTCAACAGGCTGAGGACCATCTTTCTAACTGATAACAGTTGTATGACTCTGGGAAAGATATGTCATGGGATGAAGAAACATGGTTCCCAGAGTCACATATAAACCACATGTTTCCTCATCCCATGAACTGCAAGTTTCTTCATCTATAAAACAAGGTTAAATAATACTTACCTTACAAGATTAATGACATGAATGCCTAGAATGCATTAAGCAGCCCAAAAAATGATGCTGTTAAATACAAACAAGAGACACCAAATTTCTGTGGCTGTGGTTTTCACCCAAGAATTATATCACAGTCACCTTGGTGGCTTTTTCAAAACACACATACCCATACCTACTCACCTGGGAAAGAATCCAATTCTCCAATGGGGGGAGAGCAGCTTATTTTGCAAAAGCAACTTAACTATTCTGATATATCCTACCTCTCCCTTTAGAGCAGCATTTTTTCAAGTGAAGGTGATTTTCTTTTCCTTTCCAGGGAATATTTAGCAATGTTTGGAGACATTCTTCGTTGTTATAACTAGAGGAATTGGGGAGCTACTGGCAACTGGTGGGTAGATGCCAGAGTTGCTGCTAAACATTCCACAATGCACTGGACAACCCCCACAACAAAGCATTGTCCAGCCCAAAATGTCAACAATACCAAGGTTGAGAGACCCTGCTTTTGAGCCTCTAATCTATAGAAATAAACCAAAAATTCAGTCATAACTACAAGGCAGTTTTATATACTGAATGTTTGTGCCCTCTCCCTCTGCCAAATTCACATGTTGAAATTGTAACCCTCAATGTGATAGTATTAGGAGGTGAGGCCTTTGGGAGGTAATTAGGTCACGAGGGTGGAGCCCTCTCTCTGCCTGCTCTCCATGTGAGGACACAAGAGAACAGCCTTCTCCAAATGAGGAAGAGTGCCTTTATAGGACACCTGGTCTGCTGGCACCTTGATTTTGGACTTCCCAGTTCCCAGAACCATGAGAAATAAATTTCTGTGGTTTAAGCCACCGAGTCTATGATATGGAAGCCTAAATGCAGATATGCAGCCTTAGAGAATATGATTAGAATGTAACACTCACCAAGAAAGCTTTTTCTAAAAAGATTATACTCTGCTCTTATCAATTGCTTTTCTCTCACAATAAGATATCTTGATATCTTAATAAGCTAGAAGAATGGGATAATAGTGAAAGATAATATAGAGTTATAGTTAACCAATTTATGAAATCCATGAATCTTCCTTTGGTTTATTACTTCTAATAGTAGAGTGGATTTTTTTGTTTTGTTTTGTGTTATTTTTTTAAGGGAATAGAATACTGGTCTGGCCGACTGGCTCAGTTGGTTAGAACATGGTGTTGGTGGGCCTGGTGGACTGGCCCCATGGCTCACTCGGGAGAGTGCAGCGCTAAGCGCCGAGGCCGCGGGTTCAGATCCTATATAGGGATGACTGGTGCGCTCACTGGCTGAGCATGGTGTGGACAACACCGTGCCAAAGGTTGCGATCCCCTTACGGTCAGAAGAAAAAAAAAAAAAAGAACATGGTGTTGGTAACACCAAGGTCAAGGGTTCAGATCCCCATACTGGCCAGCCACTAAAAAAGAAAAAGAACAAGAAATAGAATACCACTTATAGGGCTCTTTTAATTACCTTTCTAGACTGAGATGTAAAATCTCCATCAGTTGCTTCAGATTTCTTAGATCTTTTCTTAGATTTTTTCTTAGATTTTTTCTTAGATTTTTTGGGAGTACTAATTCTGGTGAATTTCATTCTGAAAAAAAGAGGATTCAGAAACATTTTCATGATTATAGTATGTAAGAACTTCAATTAAATATAGAAGAGAACCAACTAGGGCTCTAGTTTCTGAACTTTTCTAAAACAGGAGGAAAACAGCAACTCCTATCAGTTTCAAACTACTGATTCAAAAGTAAGCCACACTTTATTATTCACTATTTCCTTTAGAAATAATAAGCTTTGGGCCGGCCTGTGGCTCACTCGGTAGAGTGCGGTGCTGATAACACCAAGGCCACGGGTTCGGATCCTATATAGGGATGGCCGGTTTGCTCACTGGCTGAGCGTGGTGCTGACAACACCAGGCCAAGGGTTGAGATCCCCTTACCGGTCATCTTTGGTAGAGTGCGGTGCTGATAACACCAAGGCCACGGGTTCGGATCCTATATAGGGATGGCCGGTTTGCTCACTGGCTGAGCGTGGTGCTGACAACACCAAGCCAAGGGTTGAGATACCCTTACCAGTCATCTTTAAAAAAAAAAAAAAAAAAAAGAAATAATAAGCTTTACAGAAAATTAACCCCTAGTTTTTTTCTTGTATTAGCCAAACCAGTATGCAAGTATATGCTTGATAGTGCATGTGTCAGTTTACCCAAGAAATAAAATTCTGTGATTTATTTTTAATCTCATATTTGTCAAATGCACAGAATTCATATTTGAAGGATATTTCTTCAGGGATTAGCAACTATGATAAGTAAGAGTTTAGCACTCACCTAAAATATATGTAAAACTCTTCTGAAATTATGCCTGACTTTAAATTAAATGTGGAAAACAAGAAGCATTTTTGAAACCCTCTTCTATCTTATAAATCAGCTGTGTTCTAGAAAAAACAATACCTTCCAATGCTTTAAGTATTTTCCTTTCCACCTAACAATGCATGCAGAGTACTAAAACTTTAGAACAAAAATAAAACTTTACCTAATGGGGCTCTCTGAATCGGAGGATACTATTAGTAATTCCGCTGTATATAAGCTATGCTTTTCTGATAAGTTGGCTGCTTTTGGAGTGGAAGCCTTTACTGGACTGTTATCTTGTGCGTCTTCTGAATCAGTACCTTTAATGGTTACCTTAGTAGGCGTGCTGCTGCTTCTTAAATATCTTCTGGTTGATTTGGGTGTGGAAACATTTACCAAACCATCTTCAGGTTCAGCTTTAGAGTTTATAACCTTATCTTTAATTGGTATGCTGGCGTTTCTTGAGGATTTATTGTTGTTACGTTGAGAGGAAATCTTCAGAAGATCATTATTTGCTCCATCTTCACAAACAAGACTTTCACTGTTAAGTAATGTACTGCTTTTGAAAACTTCTGTTTTTTGTCTTAACCTCATTCCAAGCCTATCTTGTTTATCTTTTAAGGAAAAGTTTGTTTCCTTCTTTTTAGTATTTCTCTCTCTGTTTTCACCTGGAGTAGCCCCAGTATCTAATGTTTTCTTACTCTTTTTCTTTAGCTTTTTAGTTTTCTCCTTAGGAAAACTTCCTTTATCAGTGTGTGACTGTGAATTGCCATTATTTGAAACCATTTGCATATTAGGATCTCCCATTATTTTTTTAGAACTATTATCTCTTCTTTCCTCATTTAAAGATTTTTCATTGATGTCTTTCTGCTTATCAGAAGACTTTTTGACTCCATTTTTAAGTGCATCTGACGCTGGCTGCCTAAATGCTTTCATAAACTGCTGTCTTTCTTCTAGAGTACATTTTGGTTTCACAGTTTCAGAACCTCCAGCTTCCAACACTGCCAATTCTAATTCTTCTTCTTGTATAACAACGTTAGATTTTCTTTTCTGAATGCCCTGTTCATTCTCAGGATCAGACAGACTATTTTCCATTTCAAATCGCTTTCGTTTCAAGAAAATTGGCGGTATTTTTCCTGTCGTTTTGGGGGGAATAGGGTGAACTTGTGCAAGAACAGTCACTGTCTTAAGGAGTACCTGTTGAGAAATTTCACAGTTGTCTATATCACTTATAAAACCACTTTTGACTATCTCTTCAACATTTTCAGACAGAACACAAACTGACATTGTAGAGTCTGGCGTCTGTTCCACTTTATTTTCCTGGTGACTTTTTAAAAATTCTTCATATGAGACAGTTATTGTACTATCATCTAACTGGGCTGTTTCAGTTACATTATCTCTAGAGTTTGCATCATTTGTAGTACTCTTGATTTCATTAGTTAGGGAAGGCATTTTCTGTTTACTATCTTTACCATCTTTTTTAAGCAGATTTAGTTCCTCTGCCAAGGGTAAACTTTGAGATAGATCTATGACATCTCTGCGCTTCCTTTTTCTCAACTTTTTGCAATCATCTTTTGTGGCCCTTTGTTTAGGATTTACTATCTTAGAATTTTTTTGCGAGGCCATAGTGCTTGAATGATTTTTGATATCCTGAATGCTTTCTTCAAGTACCTCTACACGTTTCTTGTAAAGTAAAACAGAATTACTACTTTCCTCAAAATTGTTATTTAAACTAGAGTCTTCTTTGCTATCATCACTATTAATTTCAATTGGAGATTCATTTTCAGTTTTAATATTATTTAGATGATGAGATAAATTACTCCTCCTTCTTTTCTTCTTAAGCTCTATGTTTGAGAACATTTCCAAAGGTGTCTTACAGGCTTGGCTATTGTCAATGGGCAGTGGTGCAGATGACTTTATTTTGCTCTCCTTTGCTGATTGTGTCTTCTCATTTGTAAGTGAAGTCTTTCTAAAATAATCCATAATATTACTGGATTTTGGTGGAGAGAAAACCCTGTCTCCAATCTTCCTTATTGGTGATAAATATTTTGTAATTGTTTTACAGGAAGATCTGTCATCATCTTTCCTTCGCTTTTTGCATGGCTAGCAATTTAAAAGAGTGAAAAAAAAAAACACGTATTTTAAACAAAATGTAAATTTTAAACACGAATGTAATACTTTAAGTAATTAGATTTTTTTAAAAAGGAAGGCTCCTTTATGTTAAAAACATGATATTTGGGCCGGCCCGTGGCTCACTCGGGTGAGTGTGGTTCTGATAACGCCAAGGCCCCAGGTTCGGATCCCATATAGGGATGGCCGGTTAACTCACAGGGTGAGCGTGGTGCTGACAACACCAAGTCAAGGGTTAAGATCCCCTTACCGGTCATCTTTAAAAAAAAAAAATGATATTTTAGAAAGAAAATGAGCTTCAAAGTTAAACCTACATTCAAATCTCAGTGTCACATCAAGTTGTACACTCATAATTTGTGCACTTTACTGTTTATACATTACACATCAATAAAAAGTTTATATTAAAACAAAACCAAGGCCAGTATACTTATGAGCAAATTTATTAACTTCTCTTGGCCTCTGTTTATAACCCTTGAATAGCACCAACCACTTCACAGAACTTGTAATGAACACCCTACATAAAAATATGTTTATCACATGGTAGAGAGAGACCCTACAAATAATAATTCCATTGCCCTTTTACTTTTTTAGTTAAAGATAAACACATTATTTTAAGTATTTTTTTTTCTTTCCTAATTTTAACTATTTCTAAGAAACAGGTACTTAGTGCAGCAGCTCAGGATCCTGAAGTTTACTAATCAAGCAGAAATTATGGTAAAAAGATCACCAAAAGAACACTTGCCACACAAGTCCAGTGTTTCAATTTGCTACCAAAACAGTTACTGCCTGCCTCCTGCGTTAGTTATTACCCTCACAGCATCAAGGTCTCTGTAATGCTAAGGATGTTATATATATTTTTAATCATAAATTAGTAACTTACATAATAGAAAACAGATATCACCTTATTGGTTACAGAAATCTTCAGCAGTCTTTTCTTTAATTTTAACTTTTCTCGGTTCATTTGTAGAATAAACTTGCCAGAATAAGAAGGACTTTTTTTAAAAGATAAGTAATGAATGGGGGATTTATACTTCTAGAAAATTAAAATGTATTATAAAGCTGTCATAATTAAAAACATAGTACTGATGCATGAATAGGCAAGCAGCTTGATGGAGTGAATTAGAAAACAAAAAACTGACATAAGTATATATGTAAGAACTTGGTATATGGTAACAGTAGCATTCAAGGACCGGCCAGTGGCTCACTCGGAAGAGTGTGGTGCTGATAACACCAAGGCCCCGGGTTCGGATCCCATATAGGGATGGCCGGTTTGCTCACTAGCTGAGCGTGGTGCTGACAACACCAAGCCAAGGGTTGAGATCC